CTGTCCAAATAAGGGGAAAAAAGAAGTATTAGATTTTATATGTGCTCAGGGTGCACCAGCTGCTGTTCCCTTAAGAAAAAGTATTCACCAACACACAGCTAAAGACCAAAACAGTATTTAAATACACAAGCCAATGCAATGTAGAAATGGGGGAGAAAGAGACAAAGATATTGAGATACTACCTCTCAAAATAGACTGTGCTATTTCAGAATTAAAACAGTATTCCAAAATATGACACTGTGTTCATAATCTATTTTAAACAACCTGTTTAATTCAGTCAGGATTACACGATTTCATTTACTCCCATCTAACCATATAAAAAACAGTTCAATTTTTCCTCAGATTTCTAGAATGTGTAAACATACCGAGAAATATGTGGTGTTATTAATTAAAAACAGATGACACCTAATTAGTTCTTGCCTCATTCCATGTCTTAAAACACAATATATCAAATTTAAAAATAATTCATGGACAATAGCATAAGCTTGGAGATTGTAACTGCCAGAGGGAGGAAGAAATTGATGGTGGAGGGGAGGTTGAGAGATAGTAATCATCTTAAAATTAACGCTCTTGTTTTAGTTTCAGCAAACAAATCTAAGTAAGTCTTCCTTTGATTTTAGTTTACCATGTAATTCTAACCAGCTAATTATCCTTGGAGTCAAGAATGAGCTGGGACTCTACTCTCCACCTGGCTTTTCTCATCATATGGCTATGGTCTCCTTCACTTCCATTTCCTTTTTCTACAATGGGGTTTAATATTAAAGGAAAACACATGCTCATACTGATGGACAGGCAGCATCCAGGAGCTACAAAGAGAAGGAGGATTGGTAATGTGACACTTATGTTAAAGGTGCTGGGTTAGCCAAGGGTGACAGCCTCCATACCATCCCTCATGCCACTGATTTTGCATTCAGATACTCTAAATGAAGCACAGCAGTATTATTTTAGTGATTGCCCAGGTTATGTTTCAGCTTCTTCAACTCATCCACTAGCTTCATTTGCTCAGTGAACTCAAATTTGCATAACACTATTTTGGAAGAAAAGTTTTTGTGTATTTTTAGACATAAAAATGAAGTATTTCATAACCTTCAGAGCCAGGTACTTGATATAAAAAAGAAATTGTTTTGGATTACTGAGACATTCTAGAGACTATTATTTCTTTCGTTAAAAAAAAATCAAGTGGTATAAATTTCTTGTACATTTACCTTTCCATTACGTTCCTGATCCTGCACATTAAGCATGTTCTTTCTCTACAAATTTATTCTGAAACACTAATACACATTTGCTTCATGAGAGACTGTTCTGCTTTTTCTGCTTTTCTTTGGAAATTAGAAACCCTCATTCCACAAAGGTAAAGTACAAAGAAAGCCGACACAAGGTACTGCCAAAAAGCCACAAGTACATGCCAGAGCACTTAACAGTAAACTACCATTTCTCTGTAAAACTTCTGCTGCCAAGCTGCTCCCAAAATCTGGAAGCTTGGAGACAGGTTTCAAGTGCAATTAAATTCTCCCAAAGTAAAACTGTACGAAAATATGCCACCCTTCTTCTGTCTCCATTTATAGACAACATTTTCTCAGGATCTTAATTAAGATAACGATGCACACCTGTGTCAACATTCTCTGGCAAGACAGCCTTATCAATCATAATCCTTTAAGTACACTGAAAACAGCAAAGCGATATGAAGGAAGCAATCTGTTGCCTTTCTTGGGGTTGGTGCTGGCTGTCTCCCACAAGGAAGATGAGATCTCTAAAATACAGGCAGACCTACTTTTATGAGCCTTTAAAGTTTTAACTGTAAACAGCTATTACACTAAATAAACAGGAGTCACCTCCTCTGCACTTGATTGAAACAATGACAACTGTGCTTGTCTAAAACTTGAAGGGCAAGCCCCTTGGCCCTTGTCTTGGCCGTACAATTTGTGGATCGTATTCAAAAGCTCTGCTTAAGAGTTGTGCGTATCTGGATTCTGCAGACATGACAAACCAATAAAGCCTTAAGAAGTTTTAAAACAAAGTTTAGTGGCTCTACATGAAAAGCAATCAGAGCAGACCTATTCCTGGTGCAAGTTAACATGTTTAGGAAAAAAATAATACACAACACAATAGGGAGGGAAAAAAAATTCTTCATAACCTGGGATGAGTGGGAGACAGATCTGCGCTTCAGCGACCAGACCGCTAACAAGTAAACAAGTTCCCAAACGCAAGGGCTGCTGAATAGAACGGTGAAAGCGAGGGGGGGGGGGGGGGGAGCCAGACGTCACCACTATCCAGACAGAAAGCTAAAACCGTGGTGTTCGCCCGCAAAAACGTGAAAGCGTCTGTAATAAAAACGGAGAGACCCCGCCAAGATGCGATCTGAATTCCGCCTGCCAGCCAACGATCAGCCCTGGGGTCTCACACATTCAGCGCGAGTCTATCTCAGACGCCCGGGCGGCCCTGGCCAATCGAGCAGCCCAGCCATCAATGTGCAAATAAAGCAGAAAATAGAGACATCCTCAAGAAATGAGCCTTGGATTTGACGTAGAGCGAAGGTGACAGCCAGAGCCACAGACACACAAACTCTAAACGCTCCAACGTCTTGCAGGCGTCTCTCCGGTCCTGGCCACAGATAAAACCTTACTACAAATGAAAAAGGAAGGAAGGCAGGAAGGAAAAGCAGAAGAAAAGGAAGGAGGAAGGCGAGGGCGGAGGGCGCGCGGGGCGGCGGGGGCGGAACGGCCTGCGGCCCAGGCTGGCGGATTACGCAACCAGGCTGTCTGCGCCACCGATTCGGATTCTCGCGGCACAGACCTCCGTGGCCCGGTTTCAGAAGTCTCCAGTCCTGGACTAGAGCCGAGGGGGAAGCGGGGAAGGACACGCGTGGCCGGAAGGGACACGCCCCCGCCCGGGGGCCGTGACCCCCGGAGAGGCGGGGCCCGGTCCCGTCCGCCGCGCTCCGGCCCGCACTGAGCGAGGCCCGGCGGGGCGGGGACTCACCTCTCCGCCCGCCGCTGCCACCGCGGCGCGGGCGCGCGGGCCGCGGACGCTCCCTCGTGGCCGGCGCGAGTCCCCGTCGGGCGGCGCAAGCGGGCCGCCACCGACCGTTAGCGCGACGGTCTGCGGCGGCGGCGGCGGCAGGCGGAGCAGGGGGGCGGCGAGGCCGCGGGAGGCGGGAGCCACCTTGGCAGGGGCGGGGGACGCTCCCTGGCGCCCCCAGCCCGGGCCTAGGAGAGCGAGCCGGAGAGGCCGCGCTGGTCATTCACGCTCGGCCCGTCGGATCCCCTCCGCTCAGTCCAGGCAGGCTCGCAAGTCCCCGCGGCCGGGATATCCCCGCCACCAGAAAGCAGCTGCTGGCTTCTGGTCTCCATGACAATAGCGCAGCCCAAGCCCCGCCCCACTCCGCCCCTTCTGAGCCTGGACTCTAAGGGAACGGGGCTTACGTCATCGATAGGCGGGGCCTGTGGAGGGCGGTGTCCAATCCGAAGCGAAAGCAATGGAAGGGAAGGGGCGGAGCTAAACGAGGGGTTCTTGGAGAATGTAGTCTGACAGCGAATGGGGTGTCGGAGGGGGGTGTGGAGGGGGGGGAGAGAGCGGGGGTCAATCAGCTTAGGAGGCGGAACCCGGATCGGGAGCAGGCAGAGGGGAGGAGTCGGCGCGCGTGCGTGCGTGAAGGCGCGCCGCCGAGTGGGTGCCCAGTGGCCGAGGTGGGTTAGTGCGAGTGTGTGCCCAGGCTGGAGCTCCGCAAATAAAGTGCGCCTCGCTCACCCAAGTCACCGCGAGAAACTTTTGTATACAGTTTGTGTAGTTATGCTTCGGTGGCCCCACTTGGCCAACACGTCCATGAAAGTCCCAACTCGGGTGCCGAGACGGGCCGTGTCCTGGTTCACCAGCGCCCCTGTCTGTCCCAGAGTTCGAGTGCGTCGGTGACTTGTGGCGGGGGCGGGGGGGGGTGAGGGAGGGGGAGACATGGGGAGAGGGGCTGCTTTGTATTCTCACGGCGTGGCCGTGGTGGGCAAGGACTCTGCCTGTGACTCCATGGTGAGTGTTTGCCTTGCCAGCGCCTCGCTGAACAAACAGTGTTTGGGTTGGGCACTGCTCTGCCGAGTGTTTGCAGTGGCGCTTGGGCGGGTGCAAGCGGAGGGGAAGGCGCCTTGGTTGAACAAAAGGGAAGGGGACCCCGCACCTTCCTCCACCAGGGACCCGGCGGCCGAGCTGCTGATGGAGACCCTGGAGAAAAGAGTCTGCGCGGCTTGGGGGTGGCAGGAGGGCGGGGACAGGACGGGGAGCCACTGGGTTATAGCTGCTCCTTCTCCTGGCAGTTCTTGCCCACCATCTCTCCCTTAGAGAAGGGCTAACCTGGTAGTCGCAGCCCCACCCCAGCCCCGTAGTGTCTCCTCCCGGTCCGGGGATCCTAGGAAGGGAGGCCGAGCCAGAGACGTGCAAACGTCCGAGTCCAGGCCTGGCTCTCGCCCACCTGCTGCTGTGGCTGGCGCTTTGAGGCAGCCAAGCCGAACTTCCTGCGCCCTGGGCGCAGGCATCCATCGGCACTACCAGGGACCTTAGTTGCGATCCTTAGGAATGAGAGACGATCTGCCTCCAAGCCCAGAACCCAGTCTCCGGAAGAACCAGCAATCCCCCAAGTTTGCGATCTGCGGCGGCAAGAAGAGCGCAGAGCGTTCATCCCTTCACAGTCCGTGGCCTCGATCCCTTTGTGCTTGCGAGCACTCGGACCCGCTATCTGGGCCCGCGACGCGTCGAGCCTGCCGCTCCGCCCCGAGTTAGCTGGGGAGGAAAGTTGGAAGAGGTCGGCGCTCTTGGGATGTGATTGTCATCCTGGGGCCGGCGCTCGAGAGTCTGAGAGAAAGAGAGAGGGAGAGCTGGGGACGGGAGGGGGGAGGTAAGAGAGAGAGGGGAGAGGGGGGCCGCGGAGGAGAAGGCGGGCGCTAGGGAGGGGCGAGGGGAGAGCCAGCGAGCGGGAGAGGGAGCCGGGAAGGAAGAGGGAGAGGGCGAGGCGCGCCTGGCGGCCGGGTTGGCTGTGGCCGCCCAGAGGCTCCTGCCAGTCCTCCCACTGACTACACCCCGGGAAGGAGGAGCTTCGGGCGCGCACAAGGCGTCAGAATCCTCAATTTCCAACTTAGCATCTTGGCAGGACCTTTGCGAAGCCAAAAGCAGAGCCCCCCGGTGCAAAGAGCGAGGGGGAAAAGAAAGCAGCCAGGGAAGGGAGGGGGGGAAAGCCGAGCCGGGGCGAGTGGGGCGCGTAGAGGAGCGGGCGCAACCATCGCAGCCGGAGGCGCGCGGGAAGCTAAAGAGGAGGCGCTGCGGGCCGGAGCCCCGGAGCCGGGGCTCGAAGAGCGGCGGCCCAGGGCAGCCAGAGGCCAGGTGCCCGCCCGATCGCCCTCGCAGGGCGCCGCCCGGCTCGTTGGCGGCCGCGGCGCGGCGCGCCCCATGCCCGTGTGTGGCCATGTCCTACCCGCAGGGCTACTTGTACCAGCCGTCCGCTTCGCTGGCGCTCTACTCGTGCCCGGCGTACAGCACCAGCGTTATTTCGGGGCCCCGCACGGATGAGCTCGGCCGATCGTCTTCGGGCTCTGCGTTCTCGCCCTACGCTGGCTCCACTGCTTTCACGGCGCCCTCGCCGGGCTACAACTCGCACCTCCAGTACGGCGCGGACCCCGCGGCTGCCGCCGCCGCTGCTTTCTCCTCGTACGTGGTGAGTGAGTGGGATCTGAGACCAGCGGAGGGCGAGGGCAGCCGAGGCCAGACTTGCAGGCGGGGACTGCTGGGGACACGGGCCTAAGCGCCACCACCGATCTCCCCGCCAAGCTGAGCTGGCCCCGGCAAACTTGCGCGATTGTCTCTCTCGGCTTCGCCCGGGCCTCGAGCTCAGGAGTTGCTCGAGCCAAGATCGCAGAGCTGGTGGGGTTTGGAGGGGAGACGTCGTTGCAATTGAAGAGGAACCTTTGGTTCAAACATAGGCACTGGCCCGTCTTGAGAATTGTATTTTTTTTTTAATTTTCCGGTGTTGGAAAAGTAGTTCAAAAGAAATACACCCGAAATCTGAACAGAAGCGTGCTAAATCTATGCAAATGTGGTTGCCCTCGCCTTTAATTAATCCTCCAAAATGTTGCAAATCCGTAATCCTATCTTCGCAATCCGATTTGGAGGTATTAAATTTCTGAAAAGTCGTCCGAGCTGCGGTGCATCCGGGATTTTTCGGCCGGGCGCACTTTCTGGAAAAGCGCAATGGCTTGAGTTCGGGGTAGCATTTTTTGGAGGGTGGGCGTGGGAGTTAAGACTTAGCTTGTGGTTTGAGATTCTTTGAAGATTAAAAGAAAGAAAGAAAGAAAAAGAAAAAAAAGCCCTGACTTCTCTTGTTCTACCCCCTTGCGCCCAACACGCGGCCGCCTTGGTGCTGCTCAGAGTCGCCCAGGCCTGGCCTCTATCTGGAAGGTGGGCCGGGCCACGGAGGCCCCGACCTGCGCACCGGGCACGGACCTTCCCCGACAGAAAGGGGCCACCAATGTGGCGCCGAGGCCCGGACAGCTTCCGAGGTCCCACATTCTGGAGTTGAGGGGCCCCCCCGCTGTCTACTAGGAGGGAGGAGGGGCTGCTCTTGGGTGTGAATCAGCCAGCCCTGCCCGAGGGAAAGCTGGTTTGCGGGCCTCGCCGTCCCGCAGACCCCGGAGCCCAGGAAAAGTGTGCTTCAGCCTTTCCGGTGGCTGTGAAGAGCTCGGTCCACACTCATCAATCTCTGTCTGTTCCCTGCAGGGTTCTCCCTACGATCACACACCCGGCATGGCGGGATCCTTGGGGTACCACCCTTACGCGGCGCCCCTGGGGTCCTACCCATATGGGGACCCCGCGTACCGGAAGAACGCCACACGGGACGCTACAGCTACCCTCAAGGCCTGGCTCAACGAGCACCGAAAGAACCCCTACCCCACCAAGGGCGAGAAGATCATGCTGGCCATCATCACCAAGATGACCCTCACCCAGGTGTCCACCTGGTTCGCCAACGCGCGCCGGCGCCTCAAGAAGGAGAACAAGATGACGTGGACGCCGCGGAACCGCAGCGAGGACGAGGAGGAAGAGGAGAACATCGACCTGGAGAAGAACGACGAGGATGAGCCCCAGAAACCCGTGGACAAGAGTGACCACGAAGGCCCGGAAGCAGGTTGGTGGAGATGGGACAGGGCGTGTTGGGCCGGATTGAGAAGGAAAAGGGGGCCTGGAGGGGGCGCGCACGGGTCTTGGAGGTTGGGAGCAAGGGGGCTCGGACTTTGCGGGCAGAAGCCTGGGTCCCACCGGGTGGCTTCTGTCCCCCCCCCCCCTCCCCTTCTGACAGCCTGGGTTTCGCTCACAGGAGGAGTCGAGGAGAAGGCGGCCGCAGGCTGCGAACGGCTGCAGGGGCCGCCCACCCCCGCCGGCAAGGAGACCGAAGGCAGCCTCAGCGACTCGGATTTTAAAGAGGTGCCTTCCGAGGGGCGTCACGATGCGCAGCCCGGGGCCCCTCGCGCCGGCGGGCCCTCCCCAGCTGGGCCAGCGGCGGCGCGGCTGGCGGACGACCCAGCCTCTCACTACCCCACGGGCGCTCCGGGGCCCGGTGCGCACCCGTCCTCGGGAGAGCTGCCCCCAGGCCCCGGCGGACCCTCGGTCATCCACTCGCCGCCGCCACCGCCACAGCCAGTGGTGCTTGCCAAGCCCAAACTGTGGTCTCTGGCAGAGATCGCCACATCCTCGGACAAGGTCAAGGACGGGGGCGGCGGGAACGAGGGTTCTCCATGCCCACCGTGCCCGGGGCCCGTAGCCGGGCAAGTCCTAGGAGGCAGCCGCGCGTCGCCATCCCCGGCGCCGTCGCGTTCGCCCTCGGCGCAGTGTCCTTTTCCCGGCGGGACGGTGCTGTCCCGGCCTCTTTACTACACGGCGCCCTTCTATCCCGGCTACACGAACTATGGCTCCTTTGGACACCTCCATGGCCACCCCGGGCCTGGGCCAGGTCCCACAACCGGTCCAGGCTCTCATTTCAATGGATTAAACCAGACCGTGTTGAACCGAGCGGACACTTTGGCTAAAGACCCGAAAATGTTGAGGAACCCGTCTCAACTAGACCTGTGCAAAGACTCTCCCTATGAATTGAAGAAAGGTATGTCCGACATTTAACGCGGGCTGCGTCGGTCCCGGACTTCCCTAATTTATTAAAAACATGGCCTTGGCAGTTATTTTCCCCCCATCACCGAGAGAGAGAAAGAGAGAGAGAAAGAGAGAGTGAGATAGAGAGAGAAAAACTATCCTTCCTATTCAAAAGTTTATAATCAGTGGGGATGGATGGCATAAAAATGTAAAACATCTCCACATACACAAAAATGTCTTAACCAACTGAGAAGAAAAATTAAAAAGAGAATTTGTATTAAATCTTATTCTGTATATTTAATGTAGCATTTTTGTATTTAAATTGATAATTCAATATCTTTGAAGTAAATTATGAAATCAAGACACTTGTACAGGCATTTAATGTTTTTTTGTAATATAAATATATACATTTGTGTTCCTCCCTCCCAAAACTGTTTCATAGTTTAAAAAAATACAAGTTTAATTTAATTTTTTACACCTATTGATTTTTCTGGGTATGAGCTAAAGTATTATTACAGAAAGGAAACAGGTTATACACTTAGATTTAAAAGGTAAAAGAAACTGCAGCCGCCTTTGTAAAAATGCAAAAAAAATATTTAATTAAAAGAGATTTTAACATAATCAGAGCTACTCTTTACTTTTTAGAAGCCTCAATAAACTGTCCGTTGCCTTGGTCAAAAACTGCAACTGTAACTTTTTTCGAAGTGGGGTGTGAACAGCACTACGGACCCTCTCTAAATATGCTAAAGGAAATTGTCCAGTAATTAGAATACATGCCCCGGGGGATAGCCCTGCTGGGGAATGAGGATTTGGGTCATTGATGCGGGCTACTTAGGGGAGATTGGGCCCTGGAGAAGGGAGAAGAGAGACTCAAGTGTGTGCCCAGACGGGAGAAAAGATGGCAAAGCTAGCCACAGACACGCACCACCCGAGCGCCATCGCTTAACCTAATTACTTCCAATCAGTGTCGTGTTTTATGCAAAGCAATCAGCTGGTGAACTTTGCTAATGAGTTCGATTTTATGCCGGATTTAGCCCTTATTACTATTTCAAAGGTGCTGCTGGCTAATACGGGCGGGGAGCGTTAGGAGATGCCAAAGGGAAAGCTTTCCCAAGTCACTGCCTTCTCTGACTCTTCAAAATTGGGCATTGATCTCTTCTTTGGATTTGATTAAATCAGTGAATGCTCCATCCTCGACTGTGAGGGTGGCGAGCCGCCGGGGAGGGTGGGGGGGGGGGTGCGGAGTGGCAAAACCCACCATGGGACGGTACCCCCCTTTCACAGGTAGGTGTCACACTTGTTCTGAATTTCGAGCCTGCACTTAGCTGAATCGGAGATCCGCGAGGGCAGAAGAGGAGGGGGGGAGCTCCAAAGCCCCTGGGTGGAGGAGTGGGGGAGGGAAGAAAGAGGAGCCCCGAAAGGGCTCGGGAGAACCCTCCCCCAATGGGCCTCTTTTTGGACAAGTGACTTCAAAAGCCCAAGGCCGTTGCGTAGATAAGGCCATTGTGGGCTGAACGAGGGTTGTCGTCGCTTTGACACTTTTCCTACATCGGATTCAAGAGTCGGAGTGGCTACAGAAGCATTTTTGAGGTTTTGTTTTCTCGTTTTAGTCCCGTGTACTTGATTTCAAGATGCAAACTCCTGTTGCACCTCAGTTCTAAATCAGAGAGAGTTGCACCACCACCCTTCGCCCAGGGCCGGCCAACCCTGTGGGTTCGGGTTGGGCTGTGGCTCTCGCGTCTCCATTTTACCGAGGAGACTTGGAGCTGCCTTGTATTCGTGGGAAAATTTCGGTGGTAGGGGAGAGGCGGGGTGCATTACAGCAAAAACACACTGCCACGAGGGAATTAATTTGCTCTATTAAACCCAAGCTCCAGTGTAGTGACAGAATGTGTTTGCTCGTAACTCTAGTTTAATTAGGCTAAATCAAAATGCACATATTTGCATCTTTAATCCAGATGACTTTAACACTGGACTTTTCCTAAACACACCTCAAAGTTTCTCCGCCGTAGCTGCTTTTTGCTTTAAAAAAAAATAAAAGAAAACCTCCCAGCCGGAATCCTTTAGATTATTTGCATTTAAACAAGTTTGAAAGCTGCATTGTCTAGGTCTACCTCAGGGTTTAAATTAGTGACAAAATTTACGCAAGGAGAATGGTTTTAAGGCTGGAAATGTGAATGATTAAATATGCATGAGATTATTGCATTTTATTTTGTCCCTTTAATTATAAATGATTTTTTAAACAATTGAATTCCAGAGATGACTTGCCCTCCCTGACCCTGCGCCCAGTCCCCTCCATCTCCCCTCCCCCCTCTGCTGGGTTCACAGATACACCCCCCCCCACTTCGGCCCCCCCGTTGAAAATGCAACCCCAGGAGTCACCTTGTTTAGAAAAACAAGAATAGGCCAGTCTCTTAAGAGAAAGTTTAAAGACGACGTTAACTTGGTCCGCTTTGGTCCTAAACCCTGCCCAAAGATTTTTAAAAGAAAATTACAGGCTTTCCAGTGTTCCCGGGAATATGCAAATGACGCCGCGCGGCTTCCCTCGCCCCACGCCGGAGGCTCGGGACGGTGCGCCGAGTGCTCGCCGGGCTGCGGCCGGGGAACTGGAACTGCGCACCCCGGCGTGCCCGGCCTTTCTCCCCGAGGAGAGGCCGCAGGGGGAGGACTCCCAGCTGGGGCGCACCACGTCCGGTAGCTCCGCTGCGGGTGATCCTAGTCACCGTCCTAAGCCCACATCTCTCCTGCCCTGGGCCTCGGCAGGGTTACGAATTTTTTTTTAAAACATACTTCAGCCCAAGTACAAACTCCTAATTAAATCTGCTTGGTGGTTTGTTCATGTGGGGGTGGGTGGGGGAGGGTATTTAGATCTGAGTTTCGGTGGCTAGTGGTTTTTTCTGGGGTTTAGAGACTTTCTAATTTGGAAGTGGCCTGCGGGACTGAACAGGGTGCTGGGCTTTTAGGAAATTGCCCTCCACTTAATCCCAGGAGGAGTTGTGTGTCTGTGGAGTCCCAAATACCTGCCCGAACCTCCGTTTCATCTACCGTCTAGCAGAAGACACATTTTAAGAGTGGTGTTTCGGGGCAGGGTAGGGGGGGAACTACCTGTGCTTGCAGGGTTCGGGGCTGCTCACGACCAGCTGTCGGGCAGCAGTGCCCGCGATACCTCGACGCTGCGGTTGCGCGGGTGTTGGCCACCTGCGCCTGGCTAGGCCAGTTGCGAACCACAAGGAGCAAGGAGCGCCTGGCTTGACTTTTAAGGGCAAGGGCATGGTGGCGTTGAATGCGCAACAAGAAGGATCCTGGGATCGTGGAATAGCTGTCTCCAGAGGCAGCACCCATCTGGGACCAGGCTGGATTCCTTCCCTAACTCCTCTGTGCCGGACGAAATCAGTTAAAGTCTTTTGGGAGAGAGGAGGGAATAGCCCAGTAGAGTCCCAAGAGCAAATACGCGGGCCTGGAGTAGCTGCGAGGGGGGCCTTGCCCTTCCAGCTCGCAGATTGAGTACCCAGGGCCTTGCTCGACTTAGTTCTCTAACTCGGGTCCAAGGCCTGCTGCGAGGCCTCGTAGTTTGCACACCCTTACGGCCCTCTCCTTGCCATACACAGGCGCAGCTCTAGGGGCTGAAAGGAAGAGAGGGAAGAAGGGCCGTGCGTGCGACTTCCGCCAGGGTCCCGCCTCGCAGCCCACCTGTCCCCCACAAGTAGCTGCCAACTGGGGCAGAGGCCCGGGGCGCGCGCTACGAAGCGCTCCGGGTGGAATGATCGCGACCGCGCTCCCCAGAGGGCGCCGGGCACGGATGCAGTTCGGGAAGGGCGCCGCCTGCCGGTCCCCCGAAATGCCGGGGTTCTCTGGGGGAGCGAAGCAGTTTAGCCCTGCCTGCCAGGCCCGCACCCACCGCAGGGCTTAAGCTCTGAACTTTGAACTCATCTACCTTAAGTCGCCTTTGTCCTTGGAGCCCAGGACCTGATTGGCATTGAGAATTTGGGGGCGCAGGGCCTTTGATTAAAACAGTTCTAACCCTTCGGATTCCCGCCCCTAGCCTCCTCACCGTTTCAAAAACTAGGTAGAAGGCAATGGAGAAATATGCCGGCGACTCTGTAGCAGGAGGTTGGGGACTTCGGGGACCTGTCCGGGCTACCCTGGGCTTCGGGATCACAGGATCACACACACGCCTGGTGCCTTGCGTCCTGTGCGATCTTGTTTGAATTTGGGGTTTGCCATTTCTGGGGGATGTCTACCATGCCAACGGATACCCCAAAAAGCCGTTGTGGGTCTGAATAGCTTCTGGCCGGTGGATGGCCAGAAGCAACACAAAATAACACTACAAATGAAGATGAAAGAAAAGCAAATAAAACCAAACTACCCTCCTCTGCGTCGAAACTTGCTATTTCGAAAGCACCTTTCAATCTTCCAGGCAAATCATACTAGGCTCTCTCCCGGGAGACCTCCCACCTTCCGGAAGTGCTAGTGGGTGCTATTAACGGGACTCCCTAAGGTGCGAGGAAATGGGGTACCCGCGCCTCTGGCCTGGCTATTCGCACCCCTTTCTGCTTCCTTGCTGAACTGGAGAGAAATCGGGTCCCGCTGGTACCCCGCCGCCTGCCTTCTCTAAAGCTAACCAAAACTTTAGAACCATCCCTAGACCGTCTCTGCAGGTCTCTCTTTGTGATCAGGCCAGGGCCCATCTCCATTTCGTTTTCTTCTTAAATGCAACTTGGACCCTTCCCCCCCCCGCCCCCTCCCCCGGGCCCGGATCTCGGCCTAACGGGAGAACGCATCAAGAGTAGGGTTGGAGCTCTGACTCCACTCCCTGAGTTGGTCTGACCCTCAGGACAGGGGAAGAGGGAAGGCGAACGAGGGCTGCACCCCTCAACTCTGGGTCCTCCAAAGCCGCCTGCCTAGCAGCGCTGGTTTCCGGAGCCCGAACGAGACCAGCGCGCCCAGACGTCGCTTTCCCAGTGAAATCTGCTTTTATTTGCTCCGAGCAAACCTCGGGCTCTCAGCGCTCCCCGCCTGATGGATGCAAATGCAAATGTGCACTTATTTAATTGGATCAGGCCCCAAGATAAAAGAGATAAACGGCTCCCCGTTTGCTAACTTATTTTCCGAGGCGTGCAGCGCCGCGTGGAGGGGAAGTTAATGAAGGGGCCGGGCGTCGCTCAGCGCTCCAGCTCTCCGCGGCAGGGGCGCGCGGGCCCCGCGGCTCCGCTAGGGCCGCGCTTCCTCCCCGCGCTCCTTCACACTCGGCCTGAACGCCGGGTGGGGTTCCCGCAGGACCTTGGGTGCCAACGGGCTGGAAGATGAGACGGCCGGACCCTGGCACCCTGCTCACGAATACCCGATGTCGCCGCAATGTGCTCCACTTCGCTTTGTCTCCCATCTCCTTTCTCCATTTCCCCGTGCTCGTGCTTGTCTCGTACCATTTTAGAGGTCTTTCCTTCTCACCCCAGACATCCTCTTCCACCCCAGGTGGCGCTTAGCAGTGAGAAAAGCCTAAGGGCTTTGGAAAAGACAGCACATTCTTCTCTGGCCACCAGAGTCTGTCTGGTGGAGCTGCCCTCAGTATGGACGGACAGGCCGACTCCCTTCTCTGTTCCCAGATAGCCTCCTTTTGAAGC